AAGTCAACGGCAGGATCAACTGAAATTTGTTTGAGCAGAAGCATGTGACAGTGGCAGACAACAGATTTGTTGGAAACTCAGGGATGAGAGAGACCTTCATCCTGCAGTCGATCGAAACAGGCTGGTAATATTAAGATATACTGATATTAATATAAATATTGCAATATATAATAATTGACAAAATGTACGAAAGTTACAGCAACTTGCCTGTACCGAAAGCAGGTGTATTCTGAATATGAAAACATTTGCTATAGGATGACCTACATTGTAATTTTATGAAACCAATTTGAGAACATAGCTGAATTGCCATCTGGTTATAAGACAAACATTGCACAATGAGAGAGTATTACACGAAGGGTTTCTTCCCGTATTGATGAAACTGCTGAACAACCCACAATGGTGAAAGATATTTTGCTACCTCCTTCCAGTGACAGATTGTTTCCATGCTTGTGTATTGGTTCACACATTTATCAAATTGAATAATGAGGTTCTTTCGCGTTCTCTGGATTAGAAGATTTTTGGGGCGTTTACCAGATATCTGGTCGAATGTGATGTCATGTTCATATTGCACCAGTTTGATAATTTTGTTCGATCTCAAAATGATTTTACATTTCCTAATTGCGTCCAAAGTATTTAACTATAAAAATATACTGTTATATGACGTTTAAGTTCTTATTTACTCACAATACCTCGATACCGTGAAAATTTTTTCTGGACGACACCTTTTCCCTCGAGATAAGCGAAGTATACCTATACGTATTTAGTTTACACTGTTACGATTACTTGTACATAAATAATAGTCCATCGTTCAGGTTTAGACGAGATATGGATGATATTTTCACGTTTCTGGGGATTAATGTAGATGAATTTCCAAACGTCGATCCTCCTTGGTTCCTGGACTAAAGCATCGTATCATGGACAAATGTGCATTAAAGTATGGAGCTGTTTGTCAACTATAGTTATGATAGCTTCATCAGCCGCCTCTTCCGGGGCAGGTGACGAAACTTGACGATACTGTAATGACTTAGGGCTGCACAGTGCATCGTGTCTCTTCCTGTCGTGCGATCTTCTGTACTCTAGCCAATGCCTCTGCTTTCTCTGACGAGAACGCTATGGATACATTTTGGGAAACAATATTTTTTAATTATGATTTATTTAATTTTCCTGAACATCAAAACAAGCGAGCAAACAGAGATTCAGCTCATAATGATAAAGGTAGTACATGATCGAGTGTCACTTTTTCTCGGAGATTATAAACTGTTGAAGGGATTCTATAGCGATACGTTCCAATGTGAGGAAATCGTTTGTGTTTATTACATGCAGCAAGAAGATTCATGGAACTCGTTTGTTAATTTGAGGTATCTAAGGCAGAGGCAAAACCAAAGTTTTTTATGCATTGGAAATATCTCAGAATTTCATCAGGGAAGATTACTTTTTTGTTATATTTTTCTGGTAATCGTGAATGAAATGAGTGTAGCGTCAAAGCGCTCTTTTTAATGTTTTGACTCACTTCCAACTTTCTATCTCCATGTAGGGTTTCTTCAGTTTGCGATGGTAAATATGAATCCATTCCTCTATTTTTGTGATTGTCCAATGTTCATATCTTCTTATTCTGTATTAGCACGCACCATTGTTTCGAGATCGATGCATGGAAGAAACAGAACACGGCAAACCTTTACAGTAACATTTCACATGCATCATTTTTGTTTTCTGACAATTTTTATTTTATGCCTAACTTGTGTGAGTTAAGATTAAAGCCTGTACGGTTTTTTGACATATCTAATAAACCCTGTGGTGCAGCGCGTTTCCCATTTCAGCAAACAAAATAGCAGGCGAAGGTCCTTTCGATCAAGTGTCCCATTACTTTGCTGGAGTGAACGTGGAGTGTTCAAGGAATGGCTTTGCCACGGTCCTCATCAAAACTGTCGAAACTTTTCGAGGTCGGATTTTTCTAAAGGACCACTTCGGCGAGTCTTGCTGCGACTGGACATTCACCAACAATATGTCTGACGAGGTGAAGGTGCGAGTTGACGTCAAGAAATACGGGAAAGAACTGCGTAATGTACGTATTCCACTTTATCCATTGTGTTGTTTTGTGTAAACTTCAATTTATTATTCATCTCTAATAGCGTTGTTGCAGTTATATATTGGAAGTAAACAATTTATTGGGGCATTATTAATAATCACGGTGTAAAATTTTTAGGCATGGTACTACGGTACCGCTTAAGGCTTGGCTGAAGTAAACAGAAATTTATTACATGCAGACAATATACAGTGGTACGATTATGTAAAATTGTCAAGATCAGTTAAAGTTACCGTTTTTTATCTATTGGAAAATTGCATAAGTTTTGCCATGAAAGAAAGATATAAACGCTTTCATTTCTATTCGTGGCTTTAGCTCTTGTGGGGATTAAGAATATTTTAGCATCTAAGCGTTCTTTGTAGTTGCCACTCACTGGTGGTATGGTTGGTAGTTGAAATCGACGATTTCACGGGGCGTAATTTTAAGTTTAAGAACAGTACACGTAACGTTTACATCTCTCTTTCAGGGCGAAACTTATGTAAACTTCCAATAAAGGATAAAAAGTAAATTTTTCCTATCTTTACGATCTCGTATGACCGTAACTTTGTATATTATTTCCAGTTTATAAATATCTATTAACATCAGCCGAAACCGACTTGCACGAAAACGTTATATACCGTGCGTATTATTATTAATAAAGTCTAAATACCTT